CGTGCATCCTTGGTGTGCCATGGCTCAAGAAACACAACCCCCAGATTGACTGGTGGAACGAGAAAGTTGTGATGAGCCAGTGCGCGTGTGAACAACGGACGGACACGCGACAACGGGAGAAACCCTCCCAGGGCCGGAAGGAGTTATGTGCAACCTCCGAGCTCGATGACCTAGCCCAGGCATCCTCACCGACGAGTATACCGGTGGAGTACAAGGAATACGAGCAATTATTCCAGGAAGGCCCTAAGAACGAGGCGCTTCCTAAGCACCAACCATGGGATCACGAGATACCTTTGGAGAAAGACAAGAGTCCACCATTCGGACCAATATATCAGCTATCGGAAAAGGAGCTGAAGGTACTTAAGGAGTACATCAATGATAACCTAGTGAAAGGATTCATCAGACCATCCACATCACCAGCAGGAAGTCCGGTGCTTTTCGTACCAAAGAAAGACGGCTCCCTACGGTTATGTGTGGACTATCGAGCGTTGAACAACATCACAATCAAGGACAGGTATGCCCTGCCGTTAATCAACGAACTACACGATAGATTTCAAGGAGCAAAGATCTTCAGTAAGCTAGATCTGCGAGGAGCATACAACCTGATCCGAATCAAGGCTGGGGAAGAGTGGAAAACAGCATTCCGCACCCGCTATGGCCTATTCGAGTATCAAGTCATGCCCTTTGGGCTAACAAACGCACCCGCATCTATGCAACGACTGATGAATGATGCTTTGCACGAATACTTAGACATCTTTACCATTGTCTACCTAGACGATGTCCTGGTGTATTCAGCAACCAAGGAAGAGCATGTCAAGCATGTCAAACTTGTCCTGAAGAAACTAAAGGAGTACAGCTTACTCCTCAAACCAGAGAAGTGCGAGTTCCATAAAAACCAAGTCGAATTCTTGGGTTACATTATCGGAACGCACGGCATCAAGATGGACCAAGCAAAAGTAACGGCAGTGTTGGAATGGCCAACACCGACCACGGTCAAGGAAGTGCAAGCCTTCCTAGGCTTCGCCAACTTCTACCGAAGATTCATCTCGGGATATTCCAAGGTAGCTCAACCACTCACGGAGCTTACCAGAAAGGATCTCGAATTCAAATGGACGGACAAGGCAGAGGCTGCTTTCCAGGAACTTAAGACGAAGTTCACGGAAGCACCTATCCTTGCTACATTTGACCCTGAAAGAAGATCATCCTCGAAACGGACTCTTCTGACTTCACAATTGGAGCATGTCTGAATCAACCAGACGAGAACGGTAAGTTCAAACCAATCGTGTACTACTCTAGGAAACTGTCACCCGCGGAACTCAATTACGACATCCACAACAAGGAGCTACTGGCTATTGTCGTTGCCTTTGAGCAGTGGCGAGTATATCTTGAGGGATCCACCTACCCTGTGCAGGTATGGACGGATCACAAGAACCTCATATACTTCACCACGACCAAGGTTTTAAACCGCAGACAAGTCCGCTGGGCAGAAACCCTCGCAGCCTACAACTTCACGATAACCTATCGCAAGGGCTCCGAGAATGCAAGAGCAGACGCTCTCAGCAGACAGACCGACTACTCCGGCCCAAAGGAAGAAAGACCTAGAGCAATTCTGAAGAAAACAGATGCAGGAATACAGTACAACGAGTTACTAGCGACGATCTCAGTCATCGAAGATACAGAACTCGAGGAAAGACTCAAGAAAGCTTACGCAACAGACGAATGCGCCAAGCGAGTCTTGTCCAAAGTCGAAGGCGACTTCACCATCGACGAACAAGGATTGATTCGATACAAAGGGTTAGTGTATGTCCCAAGTCAAATGAGACGCCCGCTGGTGCAAGAACAACACTCGTTACCAGCACACGGTCATCAGGGAGTAACACGAACCTTCGAACGAATCACCTGACACTACTACTTCCCAGGTATAAGGAAGCAGGTAGAGACAGTGGTAAGAGAGTGCGACATTTGCAGCAAGTCAAAATCCAATAGGCATCTGCCATACGGACAACTCAAGTCGACACCAGTACCAAAAGGAGCGTGGAAATCAATAGCTTTGGACTTCGTCGTCAAGCTTCCACCCTCCAAGGACCCGTTAACAGGAATAGAATACGACTCTATCCTCGTCATCATGGAAAGACTCACGAAATATGGGAAGTTTATACCATATCTAGAAGCTAGCGACGCCGAGGCGCTCGCATATACCTTCTTTCGAGTCATATTAGCCGATCATGGGATGCCAGAAGAAATCATCTCAGATAGAGACAAGCTCTTTACTTCGAAATTCTGGAAATCATTGATGGCGCTACTGGGAACAAATCATAAGCTGTCAACAGCTTTTCATCCCCAGACAGACGGCCAAACAGAAAGATTAAATCAGACCCTTGAACAGTACCTGCGAAGCTATGTCAATCATCAACAGGACAACTGGGTTCAGATCTTACCCATCGCACAGTTTGCATATAACAGCGCGATGACAGAAGCAACGAAAGTCTCACCGTTCTTTGCCAATTACGGCTACCAGCCAGAAGCATATAGGCAACCAAGACCGGATGAATCACGAGCTGAACAAGCCCTGATCGTGGTGGAACAACTGAGATCGTTCCACGAACAACTTGCGACGGACATCCAATTCTTAAATGAACGATCCGCCGCATACGCAAACAAGAAGCGCAGTATGGAACCTGCCTTCAAGGAGGGGGATAAAGTATACCTACTCCGGAAACATATCAAAACGAAACGACCAAGCACAAAGTTGGACTTCAAGAAATTGGGACCATTCAAAATATTGAACAAAGTCAGCTCAGTTAATTACAGACTGCAGCTACCCAGGAAGTCTAGACTACACCCGGTATTTCATGTCTCACTACTGGAACCAGCAAGAGGAAATACCCCAATTGCGACCGACACCGAACTCCAACCCGAGAATGAGATAATCGAATATGAGGTCGAAGCGATCCTAGACAGAAGGTTAGTAGGACGTCGAGAAGAGTTTTTGATAAAATGGGAAAATTACGAACCTACGGATAATTCGTGGGAACCAACAAGGAACATCAGCAAAGAACTGCTGGAGGAATATCGACGCCGCCATCCGCCAGCCATTGATCCCAAGATGCAGGGGAGTAGGCCAGTGGATCGGAGGAAGCGGGGGTCCCGGTCACAGACGAGGAGGCAGCGCTAACTGCCTGTTCCTCGGCCTCAACAGCGTCACGCTTCTCAGCAGCCACACGTTCGGCCTCCTCTGCCGCATCAAGCTCGTCGAGGGTTTTCAAACCTCGCCGGAGCATATCTTTACCACGGGTTCGGATGAGGCGTTTCTGCTTCCGCAGATGAAGTAACTTCGAAAGGGTTTCTTCCTCTTCGCGATCCAGGCGATCCTCCTCCCGTTCGAGCTTCACCCAGTCGGGATGCTCAGGACCCATACAGTCACACTTTTCTTTCAAGTTGCGACGAACGCACTCGGCGCACCGCCGTGAATCATTTGGAGACGACACGCAAGTAACGTTTCGCCTCACGCAGTTCGAGCAAGAATCCATTTCGGGTAGTTCGTATCCGTGGTTCTTTATTCGACGGACAAGATCGTTGCGTTCCTGGAGTTTGCGGGCAGTGTCAGTAGGCATGTTGCATGTTGAAGGACTCGCTGAGGAGCAGCAGAGTCCCGGGGACATGGACGTACTTATAGGATTCGAGACGAATGCCCAGGGGAAGGGAGCGAGTGTTACGACGGAACAAGAAGGCTGGCCAACTACAGGACAGGAAGGAGGGAGGTCGCATGAGACTGGCCGTGGTACCTGGAGGGGCAGCGGGGAATAGTAGTTCCGAAAGTATCACGTGACGGACTCGCAGGATGATGAGAAGAATCCTAAGAGTCCAGGACTCCGAGGACTCAAGTGAGTTCCCAGGAGTCCACTAGACACGACGCCACTATATAAGTAGATAGTTAGTTCTTAGATAGGAGCTTCGTGCTCAACTCAATATAGTATTCTTTACAATACTGTAAGGTGTTACTTGGAAAGCCTTTGTGTCTAATCCCCTGCCTCCTCTGATAAGTAAACCTTTACGCAAGAGAACCTCTGTGTCTTCTATCGTTTAGAAGTCAGTGTTACATACAAGAGGTGGAGGGAGGCTTAGATGAGGGCACAATTCGACAGTAGGCGATAGCTCTATATATACAGGTTTCCGATGCTTAAGATGATGATGAGGAGCCCTAGCGTCCTATGCTTACTACACAGAACGCTGTACAAGCCGTCTAAGTTCTAATTGAGTTCTTAGAATCTAAGAATAGCGGCATCACTGATCTAGCATCATTTTTGCGCTCTTTAGAGCGCGTAGAGTGGCAATTAGTAGCCAAAGAGGCTAATGACTTGGTTTAAGGCACGTTAGATGGATGGATGGTTTAGCTAAGGGGCTACTTCAGGTCTACGTCGGATCACTTTCTAACTTGATATTACTACGGAGGTAATGTTCAAAGGTTTTGTGAGTGGATCGAGCATGGGACCCCAGAATTTGTGCACAACAGCATAAACTCATGTATCGATCACATATAAAACAGGAGGCGAGATACACCATCGATTTGCGCGCAGCCCTATACATGGCTTTTATAGCCCCCCCTACTCACAAAACTTATGAAGATAACCTCCTTATAACTCGATATATTTATGCATGACCAATTACATCGACTTAACGAGATAATACTGTAAGACTACTCACACTACCACGCTACAGCGGAGAGACTCCGTCTGCACCGCAACCGCAGCGGACGGCGCTCTAATGCACAGAGCGGACACGACACTACGGAGGTTATGTTCATACCTATGAACACACGTATATAGCCCCCCCCACTCACAAAACTTACCTAAGTTTTGTGAGTGGGGGGGGCTATAAAAGCCACGTATAAGTAGGGCTGCGCGCAAATCGATGGTGTATCTCGCCTCATATTTTATATGTGATCGATACATGAGTTTATGCTGTTGTGCACAAATTCTGGGGTCCCATGCTCGATCCACTCACAAAACTTTTTGAACATTACCTCCAGACAGTACTGGCTGAGACACGAGCCGCGCATCGCGCACCGCCCACACGATCGCCCTCCACCGGTCGTGCACGGCCCGGTATGCTGTGCGTCCGGGGATGTGCGTGCGTGCAGGTTGTAACGGGGTGGAGCTGCGCTGGGCGCGCGAGCGGTGCATATCGGTGGTGTGTGTGACGTTGGAGACTGCAGCGGCTGGGAATTCTGCGTGTCACGAGAAAATAAAAAAATATTTTCGTCGGAGCTGGGTTGGGTGTTCCATCAGCCTTCCATAGGCCAGGGTCCGTCGGTTGCAGATCATCTCACTCACGTCGTTTCATGGCTCCGAAGGCTCGCGCGCTGCGGGTGGCTTCCTGCCGAGTTCCAGTAAGAGACTCGAGCATCTCGAGGAGAAAATATTGTTCATTATGAATCCGATCAAATTAATATCCCCCCACAAAAAAAATCCCTGCGTAAGCTAGCTATCTAGAAGGAAGGAACATGCTTTCAATTCGCTCAATATTAGACAGCCCCCCCCCGTCGTCGTGCGAAGAAGAGAGAAGGAGGGGGGGGCCAAATGCTGCAAAATCCGCTTTTTGGAAACACATACAGTTCGAACAAGTAATAGTAACTACGGCCGCTAAGGAAGCGGTCCGTCGCGCGTCAGGTTTCATAAATCCATAATAGGTCATAAAATAGTTAGAGAGCCAATCGTGTAGAACCACAAACGGCCAAGCTGGCCTCATCGAAGCCCAGCCAGGACGACAAAAGGTCCGATGAAGAGGGGCCCGGGATCACAATTTGGGTCGGCGGTAGTAAAAACACAAACGCAGAATGCCGCCCAAAAATATCAAATATAACTTTTTCGAGGACAGTCTTGTGGTGTGTGGCCCTCCCCCCGAAGCGGTGCTGTGGTTCCCGCTGAATTTTTTGGCCGTCGAATTACGCAAAAAGGCGCTCCAGAGATCAATCGGGAAAGCTTAGGCAAAACAAGTGCAGCGAATCTTCGTTGAATATGCGAGTCAGAGGTCGTCGAGCCCTAGAAATAGAGGTTCTTTTTCCAAGTATGTCAACGACTTTGACAGTCGGAGTCCGCTGGGGACACAGGAGATCAATACCTCGTCTTTGTAGCGGACGAGGGATTGAGTTCCGGGCATTGGGTTGATCATGAACTCGGCAGGCACTGCTGTTGGTTGCATGCGCTCGCTGTTGTCAATATCGCCGTCTGCACGATTGCCCCATGATGTCTGTAGATGCCCGTTAGTCCAAGATTCACAGCCTTCACAGGGTTTACTTACTTCGTTCCATGTCCACAGAGCCTTCAATTTAATGAATCCGTGGAGGAAGCCGAATACGACTGAGACCGGCACATAAATGATATCGGAAGGATGATGGCGAAGTAAGCCTGCCAACTTGACGAGTTTGGTGAATATATACCAAGCGATCACTAGACTCCATCCGGTCCATGCTGAAGCTTGATCCCAATTCTGAGAGGCACAATAAAAGGAGTAGAAGTATAGCGGGTCGGTTATAAGACCTAAAGATGTGAATGTTGCGAAGTATAGTGCGTATATAGTCCACCATTGACTCCTAAATTTGGCGTTAATTGGGGACTCGCAATCACCAACATGATCACTTACCAGTATACCTTCCTCTCGATAAACAACGTTGTGTAGTTGCTTCGCCAATTACTTCTCGCCCATCTCAGACACTGCCTCACAAAGGACCAGTCATTCTCAAGGGTCGTCTCAATCTCGCACTCGTGCTCGTATTGAATCCATGTCTTCCAGTCGTGGTTAACCAGCCATCTCGTCAAGAAATTATCATCATCAGCATTCAGCTGGTATTTCCCCCAACGTTCCTTGCAGAAGCCATCCAAAAATAGCGGATGTTTGAGAATCTCGGTGCGAACAGCGTTGGTCCTGCCAGACATGCACGAAGTACCACCGTCGTAGAAGTGAGAAGCCGAAATCTCAAAGTTGCGTCGATGGATGTAACAAGCCCCTAGCCAATTCCAGGCACTGGTTGCGAGATCCCCGGTGCGAACCCGCTGCACACGCTGGCATACGCCCACAGATCCCATGTCCTCTCTTTCGAACGGCGCCAGAAGCCATGGAAGAATGGTTGATGGCCACGTGACGTCGTCATCTACCAGGACAGTGATGCGAGTGGTGACTCGAGGGATAGCTTCTCGCAGCTGGACTCTCTTGTTGGCGATCTTTGTATCGTAGACCTTGATACGGGGGTCCGCGAAGGAGGCGGCGAACTGGAGGAGACCATGATACTTGCCGAATGTGGTGACGAGGATCAGTTCGTGGGGTTCACAGGCAAGAATGCTGGAGATTGGGCCACTGAGCTCTTCTAGATTGCTCTCTATCGTAGGGATGACTACCGTTACATCTTCCTTGGTGTATGTTGGATTCTGAGGTTTCGGTATTGACCTGTACAAGCAGTGACCGATAATATTAACGATCAGACGTACATATCGATAAGGCCTTGTTTTCTGGTCAATAAACTGAAACGGGAAATAGCAAGACGGCTGATAAATAAACCCATCTCGATCTAGATATCGACTTACCAAAATAGGAAGATATACCATTCCCAGAATGTCAAATTTTTGAGAAATTCGGTCACGTGCATTATATATATTTGGGAGAAGAAGCCCAATTAGAAGAATGCCCACGCCCCGTGGCTGTTTGCCAACAGGGTAGCAGCAGTCGAGGGCCACGGAAACAGTCGATTGGTGATGGTGGATTGGTAGTGAACGTATGGCAGGCTCTTGGATGTCTGAGAGAGTCTGCGGCAGCAGGAGGTTTCAAAACGAGCACGCCTGGGAGAAGAGTTGCACTGTTTGTGGCACTTTTATTGAAAGCTCTGCAATCAAAGCGCGATAAAGAAGGTTCAGAATGATTCAGCAGAACGATTCAGCGAGGTGCAATCCAGAAATTGCTCCTGCTCCTCAGATGGCTCACTCTGCAAGTCGGGATAACGCGGAATCCAAGCTATTTTCCAGCCTGGAATGTGTATTGTGTATTACGCAGTGGCAGGTATACTGATAACTGACGAATACTGACGCTTTCAAGATAACAGAGGACAAGGAAATCGTAGCGACATTGACCATTGACCACAATCAGCATCCATCCAAACGACCGTGTATATTTTTTTTCCGTGTTTGCTGTTTTCTGTTTTTCTGTTTCCAAGGTTGTGACACGAAGAGACTGACTGATATTAGGAAACGCCCCCAAAGTATATTTAACGAGACATCTTCAAAGAAGGAAAAGGGGAAGAAGGAGGGGGGGGGAAGATTGGGGATGAGGCGGGAAGTAGCAAGACTATATAGTAGATGTGGAGGATAGTGGTGGGAGCGCGGGAGTGGGAGTGGGAGGTAAGGAGCGCGTAGTAGTGAAGGGATGTATGTATAGACGGGGGGCAATAACGGCAGAGGGTCACCGAGCCGACGGTAATGGCCGCATAGCATGGCAAGGGCATGGCAAGGCAAAGTTACATGGAGTGGATGAGACGAGACCAGAGGGAAAAAACGACGTGTCATGTCAACTGGTAGCGGCTATGGCTTGAGAGAAAAGAGTAGTTGCTCCATGCGGGTAGACCCAGTAGTGGCAGTAGGACAGTCCCATAGAAGAAAGAATGGCGAATATTCGGAAAATTGGGTATTAATAGAGCCAAGAGGGTAACGGCGATGGGGGGCGAGGGCCTGGGGGGTAGAGGGGTGGAGGGGTGGAGGGGTGGAGGGGTGGAGGGGTGGAGGGGTGGAGGGGTGGAGGGGTGGAGGGGTGGAGGGGTGGAGGGGTGGAGGGGTGGAGGGGTGGAGGGGTGGAGGGGTGGAGGGGTGGAGGGGTGGAGGGGTGGAGGGGTGGAGGGGTGGAGGGGTGGAGGGTGGAGGGGTGGAGGGGTGGAGGGGTGGAGGGGTGGAGGGGTGGAGGGGTGGAGGGGTGGAGGGGTGGAGGGGTGGAGGGGTGGAGGGGTGGAGGGGTGGAGGGGTGGAGGGGTGGAGGGGTGGAGGGTGGAGGGGTGGAGGGGTGGAGGGGTGGAGGGGTGGAGGGGTGGAGGGGTGGAGGGGTGGAGGGGTGGAGGGGTGGAGGGGTGGAGGGGTGGAGGGGTGGAGGGGTGGAGGGGTGGAGGGGTGGAGGGGTGGAGGGGTGGAGGGGTGGAGGGTGGAGGGGTGGAGGGGTGGAGGGGTGGAAGGTGGGGGGGGAAGGGGGATAGCACTGAGGTGGGAGAGCATGGAGACATGGGGGGGTTCAAAGAAGAAGCTTGGGCAAAAGTGGAGAGCTTCAATAAGTGGGGAGAGGTATAAGAGGGAGAGACGAGACGATACTGTGCGACGTTGAGGATGGTGGAGGGGAGGGGCAGTTTGAAGAGCCGTGGGAGGATCACAGATAACACGAAATCAATCGAAACACCAGCAACGCCACAATAGGTCTAGTGGGAGGGGGAGTCGAGGTTGAGTAGTTCCACAGGAATGTGTCGAGAAGGGGTTAAGCTTCTGAACCCCATGGCCAACCCAGAGCAAGCCATAAACAGCCGAATGGGCGGCACTAGCTGGGGGAGGATAAAATGGGACAATTAGGGACAGGGACAATGGAGACAATAGGGACAATGGAGACAATGGAGACAATGGAGACAATGGAGACAATGGAGACAATGGAGACAATGGAGACAATGGAGACAATGGAGACAATGGAGACAATGGAGACAATGGAGACAATGGTGGAGACAATGGAGACAATGGAGACAATGGAGACAATAGAGACAATGGAGACAATAGAGACATTAGAGACAATAGAGACATTGAGACATTAGAGACAATAGAGACATTAGAGACAATAGAGACATTGAGACATTAGAGACAATAGAGACAATAGAGACATTGAGACATTAGAGAAATTAGAGACATTAGAGACATTTTACAAGGAGCAGGAGCAAAGGAATATGCACACAACGCATGCGATATGCAAGTGTGCTGTTGTAATTTTGAAGTACAGTCTAAGTATAACGGGCTGACCAGGGCGAGTCGCTAGGAGCAGGAGACATTAACCAAGGGCTACAGGACATACAATCTGTCCGGTTACTGTAACTGTATGTGTATGTAAATAAAAATGTGGAATAACACAAATACAGTAAGACATAACAGAGAGCGGGTGATACGATCGATGCGAGTTGAATGCGCGTGTGTTGATGTGTGTTGATATGTGTTGATGTGTGTTGATAGAAGTGCCATATGGCCATAGCGAGCAGCATGCAGTGTCTCACCGGCACGTCTTCCAACATCCCTACGGCCTCGTGTACGTCGTATGGGAGGGAAGGAAGGACCGGCGGAATGTCGTGGAGCGAAAGAAAGATGGCGGCGGCTGTCTCGGGGAATGGGCGATTGGCGATGGGTGGATGTGGATGGACGATGCTGGGATCGGGAATGTCGCAAGTAGCCTCGGAGTACCGATTCTCGAGATGATGCACCCCAGGGTACATGGGAAGTACAGCGTGGTGGTAGTGTCGTACTCTGTACCCGCATCCCAGAAGTGGTCACCGAGAGGGACTAGACGACTAGGGAATAGGAAGGGAATAACAGGATAGACAGCACAGGACAAATAATTATCAGAAACTGGACGTGGGACGTGCACGTGCACGTGCACGTGGAGATGGGATGATGAGATGAATGTAAAGCTGCCAAAGCTGCTGAATCTGCTGAAATACATGGGTTCCGCGGACGATCCTGGGGTTGATTTTACAAGTATTAGATAGTACAGGTACTCTACTCTACTCTACTTTCTACTGTGGACTAGTTTACTTACTCCTACCCACACTCTGCTCCAGTCTACCCCATCTCCTCCCTCCAGTAGGTCCACGGCGATCGAGACAAGTCTGTGGCGGTGGTTGGCAGCGGTTCGTAGTGGTTGGCAGTGGTTGGTTGCGTGTTTGGTAGTGGCTTCGTAGTGGCTGGGTAGTGTGGTAGGCGGTTGGCAGCGTTGGTTGGCAGGTTGGCAAGGTGTTGGTTGGCTCTAGACCACACGCGTTGCTTACACGCGCACGGGATCGAGGAGAGGGATCGAGGGCTAATGCCGGACATGACAAGCCGTGCAGTGCAGGTAAAAAAAAAGAAGGGCGGGACGGAGGTGCGTGATCGTGATCGTGATCGTGATCTTGATCGTGATCGTGATCGTGATCGTGATCGTGATCGTGATCGTGATCGTGATCGTGATCGTGATCGTGATTGATCTGTGATCTGTGAGTGACGGTTGGACGGGGAAAGTCGAGCCCGATTCGAAGGGACCAACCGGCGGATATTTGTCTCGGCGGTTGTTTGTTTGGCAGGTTATGTTGGCAGTTGGTCGTGTGGTTTGTGTGAGTGGTATTGTATGATTGTGCTTACTCTGGTGCATTTTTGTGTGTGGGTTTAGTTTAAAGTGGCTTAAAGTGGCTTCTGGGGTGGAGGATTGCATTGCAGTAATTACAGGTCTCTCTAGTGCTTCGAGGGTTTTTGTTTGTCCGCTTGGTGTGCCGCGTGTCTGTGTGTCTCGGCGAGGCGTTCCAGGGCCGACGTCGACGCGTAGATCATTGATATCGGTTGATGACTGATGGATCGTGGATTGATTACCTATAGGACACTCTATGTGTCCTATAGGTAATCAATCCGTCCATCCATCTGCACCATGACATAGCTATCTGAGGCAGATTGTATAAAGTGCTATAGCCCAGTTCTCCACCACTGCTTTTGTATCGGCACTAAAACCACCGCACACTGTACTTAAATGCCTGCACGACATTGGGTTAACTTGCTTTAGATTAACGGCCGCCCCTCCTAATCTCTTGCGCTTACAAGCGCCAATAGCGGATCAACCCACACCCCCCTCCCCTCCTAACCTCTTGCGCTTACAAGCGCCACTAGCGGATCAACCCACACCCCCTTCGCTTTTTTTATCAAATCCCCTTCTTCCCTAGCCAAGCCCCATTTCTCTCACGCCCCTCTCACGCCCATCACACGCTCCTCACAGGCCCCTCACACGCCCCTCTCACTCCCCTCTCACGCCCCTCTCACGCCCCTCACACGCCCCTCACACGCCCCTCACACGTATCCCCATATCTGTCCCAGGTCCGGACCGTCTCCTCCACTCATTCCACTCATTTCCACCCGCTCTACTGCCTTCTCCTCACATGAACGAACGGCCGCTAAGCCTGGAATCTCCAATCGCATCACCCATGGGCCTGCCTATTTAATCCACTCGCCTCCCGCCAGAATCCCAATCCCTCCAAAAATCAAGTTTATTCGCCGTTGTTACACTGCCGTCAGCAGCGAGTCGAGTCGCACACTCACACACACACCAAAGACATATATCTCGCCCCCGCCCCAACTTCAATATACTCCACACAACCAACGACGGCCCTTCGTATGGTTAAATATATATCCACGATTGCCGCCTAAGAAAGAGTTAAGATTAGCCCCGCGAATTGTAAAATGGAAATGGAATGGAACGGAATGCAAACTGTTCAATACGTTGCGCTCCGGCGAGGCAGAGACGCCAATATGCACAAATAGTACGTACACCCCTCCGTCGCGTCGGCCCTCCGTTGGCCCACAATAAGCCCAAGTCTGGCCAAGTCTGGCCAAGCTCCCCCATAGCCACCAAGGTCTCAGTCTAGCTCCATGCAGCCTACATGGGAGCCGCACTCAGCCTCGGGCTGAATATGGATGACGCTGAGATGTGGCATAACAACACCACCACTGCCCCAATCACTACGCAACTCGTACGATCCTTCGCCCATTACACTTGCTGCTTCTCGCTGGTAGCGAGTCCCTTAATTCTTCTCTCGCGCTCCGAGTAATTGAGTGCCCCATGCCTATCCCGCTTCTTCCGTTACAGATGCCCCAGAGCGCGCGACATCTGTCCTCGAGGATCTTGGTGACTCTGATGTGACGTTGTGAAGCCGTTGCCCCAACTGGATCGCCCGATTACCCATAGAGAACAACGAGAAATCCACCCCGCGGCCGGCATGATGAGCTTCTCGCTCGCGGCGGATGGGGCCCGGAGTTCGGCGACGGCGGCATTGCCGGGCTCCAAGTCCCCCGCCCTCACGATCGACGCGATTGCAAAGGCGGGGAAGCCGAATAAGGTTATTCGTAAACTGGGGCGTCCGCGCGAGAAGAGCCTCGTAAAGAATAGTTTGGACTTGGACCGGCCGAGCGTTGACCTGGGGGTCTATTATGCTGCCAGCAGAAGCAGCTATGATGCCGGCTCAGCCTCGCATATCTTGGCGGATTTGACGTGGAATTCGAGTTCGGCGAGGGGCGGCAGGAGGCCGTATCATCATAGGAGTGTGAGCGGCACGAGCCAGTTCTCATCCCGGACGTCGGGGAGTTATAACAGAAATGGCGGTTTCCAGCATCCGTGGCAGCAGACGCCGAGGCCGTACACGCCACTGGGGGCGGCAAACTATCAAGATATCATTGGGGGTGAAATGGAGAGGAATAGGGTGTCGTTCGCAGACGAGGAGCAATTGGGTGTTAGGTCGGGGAGTACATTGTCGAATTACAATGTTGGGGGAACGCTTAACCCCCCCTTACAAGAAGTGACAGTACTTGACGCCAAACCAGGCGAGAGTTTATCACTTACCATCAACACCGACTCCTTATCAACACTACCCCGAGACTCAAACCTTCCTCTATTGAACGCAGACGCTTCTAAATCACCAGAATCGAACCTTGAATCCACAGAAGAAACTTCACCTTCAAGCAGCCGAGAAAGCATGGATCGCATTCGAAACATGCGCGCCGAGGGCGGCATTTTTGAGAAGAAGAAACCCCTCAATGAACTCGACGTCCTTCACGAGGCCCGCCGCCGCTTTGAGGAGAAGGAGGCCATCAAAATCGAGCGTGCCGATCGCGCCCACGTGAGGGCCCTTGAAAAGAAGAACCTCAAGGAGGCTCTCAAGGCAGAGGCCCTCAACCGCAAGGCGGCCAGCGAGGCCGCCGACCACGAGAAGTACGGAGGTGACAACTTTGAATCTCCAATGACTATGGAAGATTTCCTCAACGCCAACTATGAGGAAATCCGCGGTGCCGAGGCCCGCCACAAGAAGCGTGCAAAGCGCGCTATCCCCAGGGACAGCGCGGCCTATGTTGCAAAGCATAAAGCTCACAATGCCTGGATGACCTTCATGATCTGGTTCCGCACCAGACTCCTGAAGATCAGCAGGAAGTTTTAGGCTGCTCACGTCATCTTCGCTGAGTTCATGATGGCTGCTCTGTACGACGAAAGGCCATGGCAAGGTCAAATCACTCAGATCGAGAACTCTACATGTTCAGCACCTTGATTCTTCAAAATGCTTTTTCAAATTCACTGCGAGATCAACATGGCTTTTCCACACACTTCAGCACCAGTTCGTCAAAGTTCAACAACTTCCAGCCACTCAGTTCATCACTCAGCTTCCACTTCTTCATGCACATACACCTCTTCTTTCCGCCACCAAGCCAAAAAAGGAAAACGCACAAGACTTCGCCTTCACTACCGGCATAAACACGAATCTCACGACTCTCTTTTTTTTCTTCAACTTCTCTTCATCCTCCGCATCATCGGCATTCACGGCATTCATCCCAGAGAAATGGTCTCGGGAGTTTTTTTTTCAAACCCACTCGCCGGCATTTACGGGCGGGTTTTCGGCATCGGCAAATTTCACGGCGCTTGGCAAGTGGGGGGGCCTGCAGGATGGGAATAGGGATCGGGGGGGGTTACTTCACGGTGTTCTTGTGGCCTTGTTTTTTTTACTACTTAAGGGGAGGGATGGGTAGAGGGGAAGGAAGGGCTGTAGATGATGGGCTGGATGGTTGTTGACGATTTGCTGGTTTGCTTTTTTGCCACGTCGAGTTTCTGTATCTGGCCCTGGGTCGAGGGGTTGGATTCTTTTGTCAATAACGGAACGTGCTAGCTGAAGCGAATATACAGTTCTGAAATTACTTTGCCTGCCCAATTCGTAAGTATGAGCGTAGAGATAAGATTTATAGGCGGCTGCGGCGGCGGCGGTGTCGGCGGCAAAGGCGTCACGTACGTATATAGCCCGGACGGCAATAGTGAATTTTGCTCAATATTTACATATTTACAATAATTTATTTGCGTGTCGTTTGTGGGCGATGTGACGCCCTAATCTAGGGCGCATGATATGCCTAGTCGTACGTACATACGGGGGTGTAGTTTATATGATAATCGCTGCGGGTGCTACCTTTTATGGGATAACGACTAGACTGTCTATTAGTTTCACTCTAGGTCCATACGAGTGTTTCATAGGCACAAGTTCCGGAGAGGTGAAAACAATTTTGTGGCATCGGGGGTTGTTCATTTGATAACTAAGAAAGCGGGATTATTTAAAAGCAGCATGTTAGTATTATTCTGTAAAATCTATAGGCCTGAGGAATGTTCTGTGGAGTACTTCGCATTGTTGCCTAGTCCTTTTTGTTTTGTAGGAATTCTTTATTTAAACGGCAGGAATAAATACAGAACTTTATACAAATATTTACCTACAAAACCACCATTTAGGCAACCCTCTGTGAAATTACTTCAAACTCTATTCTGCATTGACAGTGAATCTAAAGAGGACAAAGTCATATATTCGCGGTCCCCTATATTTTTAAAACGTTGGTGGATATTTGATTGGCCCACGTTCATTTGCGAGAGTTGACTCTGAAGCAACGCCAAGAATCGAACGCCGGTGCCAAATTAGGCCTAGTGCATATTGTCAGCCTCAACTCTTCGCCTGTCGCCTTTTTCCATCGAGACCACCTCCTGGGCGACCAAGATCACCATCAACACCGACCCAAACAACATCACCATCGTGGAATCGCGCGCTCGTCACCGTGCATTCCTAGTCGCTGAACCTCCTTCGAAGGAAGAAGGCTCCCATACTCTTCTTCCACGAAAACCCCGGCGCGCCACAACCCCGAGATCACGGCTACCTAAAAGGCGAGGCGGACTCAAGAGGCCCTCGGCCTGGGTTGCCGCTCGCGACCATCGCGACTGCGCCGTCTGCGCATTGAGCGCGTTCAGATTAACTCTCGAGAGTCGATAGACTGTTTGCACTCACTCATACAGAGCGGAGATCGCGACTCGCCTTAGTTTCACGGTCGACCTCATCTGCAGATCAGATTGCCACTTGGATTTTCGTCAACAACGCGACAACTACTTCACAATGGCGAACCTACACTTTGCGCACTCGGATGCGCCGTTGCGCACGATCCAGGAGATACAGTTTGGCCTGTTGTCCCCGGAAGAGATAAAGAACATGAGCGTGGCTCACATCCTGTACCCCGAGACGATGGACGAAGGCAAGATGAAGCCACGCGACCAAGGACTCAACGACCCGCGCCTCGGCTCCATCGACAGAGGCTTCAAATGTGCGACCTGCGATGCAGGCATGGCAGAGTGCCCTGGCCATTTCGGACACATCGAACTGGCCAAGCCAGTCTACCACCCCGGTTTCCTGAAGAAGATCAAGAAGCTCCTCGAGATCGCCTGCCACAACTGCGGCAAGATTTTACTTGACAGAGTTAGTTATCCCGCACGGGATGGCATCTTCTTGTAATTGCGTGCTGACATAAGTGATTTTCCCCAGAGTAACCCACAGTTCAAAGCTGCCGTCTCGATGCGCGATCCCAAGCGCAGGTTCGAAGCCATCTGGCGTCTGTGCAAGCCAAAGATGATCTGCGATGCCGATATTTCGGTCGATGACGACGAGTTTGCTGCGGATCCCAAGGCAGCTGCGAAGAGGCCTAGCCACGGCGGTTGCGGAAACACACAACCCGAAGTCCGACAGACGGCGTTGCAGTTGTGGGGAACGTGGAAGGTTCCAAAGGACGAGGATAACGAGAACGGACAGCCGGAGAAGAAGCTGATCACACCAGAAATGGCGTTGCAGGTATTCCGTACTATCTCCACTGACGACATCTACGACCTAGGCCTCAACAGCGACTACGCAAGGCCGGAGTGGATGATCATCACAGTGCTTCCCGTCCCACCACCACCTGTCAGGCCGAGTATTTCAATGGACGGAACTGGCCAGGGAATGCGTGGAGAGGACGATCTGACATACAAACTGGCAGAAATCATTCGCGCAAACGGAAATGTCCGTCAAGCTCAATCCGAGGGCTCCCCTGCTCACGTTGCGCTGGAGTTCGAGTCTCTCCTCCAGTACCACGTTGCTACATACATGGACAACGATATTGCTGGTCAGCCGCAGTCGCTGCAGAAGTCTGGACGTCCCGTGAAGTCCATTCGTGCCCGTCTAAAGGGAAAGGAGGGTCGTCTCCGTTCTAACTTGATGGGAAAGCGTGTCGATTTCTCGGCCCGTACTGTCATTACAGGTGATCCCAACTTGGAGCTTGACGAAGTTGGTGTTCCCCGCAGTATCGCCAGAATCTTGACGTACCCTGAGACGGTTACGCCCTACAACATTGGCAAGTTGCACCAGCTTGTCCAGAACGGTCCTAACGATCACCCTGGTGCCAAGTACATCATCCGCAATGATGGCAGCCGTATCGATCTGCGCCACCACAAGCGCGCGGGAGCTATCTCCCTGGAGTACGGCAACAAGGTCGAGAGACACATCGTCGATGGCGATTTCATCATTTTCAATCGTCAACCCTCGCTGCACAAGGAGTCCATGATGGGCCACAGAGTCCGCGTTATGCCCTATTCGACTTTCCGTCTTAATTTGTCTGTTACATCGCCTTACAACGCCGATTTCGATGGTGATGAGATGAACTTGCACGTTCCCCAGACCGAAGAGACGCGTGCGGAGGTCAACCAACTCTGCATGGTGCCACTGAATATTGTGTCCCCGCAGCGAAACGGACCCCTCATGGGTATTGTTCAGGATACTTTGGCTGGTGTTTACAAGCTTACACGTCGTGATGTCTTCTTGACCAAGGAGACAATGATGAATGTGCTGTTGTGGGTCCCTAGCTGGGATGGAGTTATTCCCCAACCGGCCATTATCAAGCCTCGTCCAAGATGGACTGGCAAGCAGCTGATCAGCATGATTATCCCCAAGGAGGTTAATCTGCACACTGCGAATGATAACCGCGAGGACGCTCCGCTGAAAGATGATGGTCTTCTCATCTCTGAGGGAGAGCTTTTGTTTGGGCTGATCACGAAGAAGGTCGTTGGAGCTACGAGTGGCGGTGTTGTCCACATCATTTTCAATGAGCTCGGGTGGCTTGAGGCTCGCAACTTCTTCACTGGCTGCCAGACCGTGGTCAACTATTGGCTCTACCACAACGGTTTCAGCATTGGTATTGGAGACACAATCCCAGATAAGGCGACCATTGACAAGATCGAGGGTGCTGTCAAAGAGCAGAAGGATATCGTTGATGGGTTGGTTCTCGAAGCCACTACAAACAAGCTCGAGTCTCTTCCCGGTATGAACGTTCGTGAGACTTTCGAGTCGCTCGTCTCAAAGGCACTGAATACGGCTCGTGATAAGGCTGGTACACGTACCGAGCAGTCTCTCAAGGACATCAACAATGCAGTTATCATGGCCCGATCTGGATCCAAGGGTTCCACTATCAATATCTCCCAGATGACTGCCCTTGTCGGACAGCAGTCCGTAGAGGGTAAGCGTATTCCCTTCGGATTCAAGTACCGCACTCTGCCGCATTTCACAAAGGATGATTACTCTCCCGAGTCTCGTGGCTTCGTTGAGAACTCGTACCTGAGAGGTCTCACACCATCCGAGTTCTTCTTCCACGCCATGGCTGGTCGTGAGGGTCTCATTGATACTGCTGTCAAGACTGCCGAAACTGGTTACATCCAGCGTCGTCTCGTCAAGGCTTTGGAAGATGTTATGGTCAAGTATGACGGAACCGTTAGGAACTCCCTTGGCGACATTGTCCAGTTCATCTACGGAGAGGATGGTTTGGATGCCGTTTACATTGAGAAGCAGAGAGTTGACTCGATCAACATGTCTGACTCGGCGTTCGAGGAGAGGTACCGCCACGACGTCATGGACCAGGCCAACCCCCTTCCTGCGGACATGCTTGAGCACGCTAGCGAACTCATGAGCGATGTCAAGGTGCAGCATCTTCTTGATGCCGAGTGGGAGCAGCTGAAGGTTGACCGCAAGATGCTTCGTGAGGTCAACTTCAAGAAGAAGGACGATGAGTCGATGCAACTGCCGCTGAACGTTGTCCGCATTCTCGACAGCGCCAAGCGCCTCTTCAAGCTTGATGACTCGCAACGTAGCGACCTTCACCCAAAGCATGTCATTGAATCTGTCCGAAACTTGCTCGACAAGATGATGATTGTCCGCGGTGAGGACAGCTTGTCGATCGAGGCCCAGAAGAACGCGACGCTCCTCATTAAGGCTCAGCTCCGCCAGCGCCTGGCCTTCAAGCGTGTGGCTATCCACCAGAAGCTCAGCAAGCTCGCATTCGACAAGGCTATCGGTGAGCTGGAGTCGCGCTTTACGCACGCTCTGGTCAACCCCGGCGAGATGGTCGGTATTCTTGCCGCCCAGTCTATTGGTGAGCCTGCCACACAGATGACGCTCAACACTTTCCATTTTGCTGGTGTGTCGTCCAAGAACGTCACCCTTGGTGTGCCGCGTCTGAAGGAAATTCTTAATATTGCGACCAACATCAAGACACCATCCATGGTTGTGTACCAGGAGGGAGACAACCCCAGCCAAGAAACCGCCAAGCTTCTTAGAAGTGCGGTTGAGCATACCAACCTGCGCTCTGTCACTGCGGCGACGGAGATCTACTATGATCCAGACCCAGAGAACACAACCATTGAGCAAGATCAAGACATGGTTGACTCGCATTACATGGTTCCTGATGAGAACTCCGAGTCCCACGACAGCCTGTCGAGATGGCTCCTACGTATCATTCTGGATCGCCAGAAGATGCTTGATAAGGGCCTCAACGTTGATGATGTTGCCGTTAGGATCAAGGAGGAGTATCCAAAGGATCTCAATGTGATCTTCTCTGATAACAACGCCGAAGAGCTAGTCATTCGTTGCCGAATGATCACTCGCATGGAGGGCAAGTACGAGGACGGTGATAACTCGGAGCAAGATGTCAGCTTGAAGAAGCTTGAGAACCACGTTCTGGACAGCCTCACCCTTCGTGGTGTTCCTGGCATCGACCGAGCTTTCTTGAACAAGGAAACCAAGCTCGTCGAGACTGAAGATGGAGCATTGATTGCCAGCAAAGACGATCCAAAGTGCCAGGAATGGTATCTTGACACCAGTGGAACTGCACTTGCTGCCGTTCTGTCCGTGCCCGGTGTTGACACTACTCGCACATACTCCAATCACTTCGTCCAGATTCTGGAAGTCTTCGGTATTGAGGCTGTTCGTTCCGCCTTGATGCGTGAATTAACCCAGGTGTTGGCTTTCGATGGTTCGTACGTCAACCATCGCCATTTGGCTCTCCTGGTTGATGTCATGACTTCGCGTGGTCATCTCATGGCCATTACTCGTCACGGTATCAATCGTGCAGATACTGGTGCCCTGATGAGATGTTCCTTCGAAGAGACTGTGGAAATTCTTCTTGAAGCTGCTGCCGTTGGTGAGCTTGATGATTGCCGTGGTGTTTCCGAGAACGTTATTCTTGGCCAGTTGGCTCCTCTTGGCACAGGTGAGATGGAGCTCATGCTTGACCCTAAGATGCTCGAGACTGTCGTCTCCGACAACGGCAGGATGGGTCTCATGTCTGGCCTTCCCGTCAAGGGCGGCTACGAGGGTGCCGCCACTCCGTATGGCAGCGATTCCCCAATGGCAGACAGCGGGTACATCGGAACTCCAGATTACGCTGCTGGATTCTCTCCAATCAGCAGTGGTGGAAGCGAGAGCCCAAGCGGCTTTGGTGGTCTTACAGAGTACGGCGGTATTACTCCAGGCTATGCCGCAGCTTCTCCATACAGCGGCGCTCGCAGCCCAGGCGGCTACTCCCCAACCTCGCCATTCGGCGTCAGCTCTCCTGGGTTCAGCCCCACCTCGCCACGCGGATACTCGCCGACTTCTCCAGCTATGGGCATGACCTCTCCTGGCTTCGCGCCAACCTCCCCGTCATTCTCGCCTCAGAGTCCGGCTTTCACTCCCACTTCTCCAATGTACAGCCCAACCTCGCCATCGGGTATGCAGCACTACTCCCCAACCTCGCCATCCTTCTCTCCCACCTCGCCCAGCTACAGCCCCTCGTCGCCGCAGTTCTCGCCTGCTAGCCCTCTTTACTCTCCTACGTCGCCTGTTTTCGGTGGCGGCAAGAGCAAGACTAGTCCTATGAGCCCCAACCAAACTAGCCCGACGAGCCCGGTGTACAGCCCTACGAGCCCAACCTGGAGCCCGACAAGCCCGAGGTACAGCCCGACTAGTCCAGCGGCCTTCTCGCCAACCAGCCCGCAGTACAGTCCTACGTAAGTCACACTTCCAGCCGCGTGAAAAAGTACAGAAACTGACAGTCATTAGATCCCCTACCTCACCTAAGCAAGACTGAACGGCGATTCGCGATTCTTGGTCTGCTTTGTACCATAAACTCATACGCCAAAAGAAAGAACAATGGGCTTCGCGATACCTGGTTTCGCCCTGTCCATTTCCCGCGTCGCGATCTTGCTTTCTTCGTTTTTTGCTATTTTGTTGTATTTTGCGCGTTTTCGGAAGAAAAACGGGGGCGTTAAGTGCGGGTTGCATCTGCGTCTTGCTGTTGTTTATTTATTGAAAGGAAGCGTGGGTGCAGCGCGATTAGTGAGAGGGCGGAGACAAGACGAGATGAGATAAATTGCTTTCAATAGATGGCTGTGCATGCATTCGCGGCGGAGGAAAAATTGAGATGCGGCGATGGGCCTCAGTGGAGTGGTTTGGTAGCCTCTTTCGATTACTTGCTTTGGTGGAGAGCGCGAGAGGGGCTGGCTTGTTTGTGTAGCTGTGTATAATCTAGAGTGCGTATCTGGGGCCTACGGGGGGAGTTAGTTCGTGGTCCATCACTGGACATGGCGGATGGAGCGGCGGAGGTCGACAGATTCCATAGCATATGAGTCCAATGAGGTGAATATAATCACTTCGATGTGCTCACCGTGAACGTGACTTGTTTGTTGGGCCCTTCCCTGTATTCGGCCAATAAGTAGGCTGTTCCTGGTGTTGAGGTAAACAAAATTGGGAATCGAGTAACCCTGACGCTTGTGCCTCCATCGCTATCACCAAGATTACATATACAACACCGAATTAAAAGCTAAGTCTCATGGGAAAGTAGTAAGAACTTGTTTAACTGCATTTATTCTATCATAAAATCTACCTAACAAACCGGACCACTCAATCGCTGTCCAAAACAATAACCTCTGCCTCCACCTCCCCAATACTCTCAAAGCCGAGCTCATCACCAGCCTGGACACCAGTGACAAACGCACCATCCCCCTCTCCCAAACAGAGTCTTCTCGGCCATCCCACCTAATCTTCGACCTCCCCTCATTCGTCATCGGAATGAAAGTACATATGAAACTGACATCACGTGACATAAAGTTAATATGAAAATTCTCATCTGGAAAAATGCGAATATTGACCTCCTTAAAAGCGTATCCCGTCCCCTACACAAGTAAGTTCAATGCGAAGAGTGGAATTATAAAATTTAACAAAAATAATTTACATTATGGTATAGCAGCCTCGATCTCCATCTCACCTCAAATTACCTCAACAACAAACTTTCCAACCCCACCCTTGCCACGGTACACCTCCTCATAGCCACTCTTTACCGCTTTTTCATCTTCAAGCTTGGCCCCACCAGTGGCTTGAGTTTACCTTCTCCTACCAATCGTCCCAAATCGTCAAGTCCCTTGGCGTCAGGGGCCATCCACAAATAGCTATAGTTGACACCATACCTCCCGGCTCTCCACTTGTTCACCCGATCCATGAGGTTCAGCAGACCACCATAAACCACGGCGGAGATGTAAACCTTCTCTTAAGTTCATCCCCTGACGGCGTTTTGCTGATCGATACAATGACGCACCAATCGCAGCCGCCATGGTATCGAGCATGAAATCGACGGTTCCAGCTCCAATTGCCGAGCTCACGTTTTCCTTTGTGTAATCAAGATACACCACCTCTCCCCATCCCCCCTTGAACAGCTCCTTTGCTCTCTCCATCTTCCCTGTCGACAGCGTCGTGATCACCTCCTTCACACCAAACACATTCAGCAGCAGCTGTATAGCCACGTTTCCTGTACCGCTCAGACCACCCGGCACGTACGCAGTTTTCCCCTTCAATCCGCCCAGCTCTGCTTCTGCGCGCCGTAGCACTTGGAGCACTGTCAGTCCCACTAGCGGGATGGATGTAGCATCGACGAAAGACATGGACTCGGGCTTTTTCGGATCAGGTCTCACCCGCGTGCCAAACTACGTCAACGGCACAGTGGCCGAGTACTGCCTCTCAACGGTCTCGGCAACAGATCCCCAACCCTCAAGCTATCGACCGGTACCCACAGCAACAATGGTCCCAGAGGCATCATGCAAGAACGAGAGGAAACCTGGTGATATGTGAGTATTCCTGAGCATCTGGAAAGCTGAATTGGGCGAAACCTACGTGTATTTGTGTGCCATCTTTAAGGCTCCTTCGGCCACTTTAATGTCAATTGGATTCACGCCCGCAGCGTGAATCTTGACGAGCACTTCGTCTGGCTGTGTGATCTGGGGCGTTGGCACGTTCGCAAGACTATAGCTGGATGGCCTTCCGAATGAAGGGATTGCCAGAGCACGCATTGTAGGCGGTATTGCTGCCATGTTGAATTTTATATAACTTTGACTTAAATTTAATGGTATAATAGACTGTTACTGTGAATAGCGTTTTTTCACTGTATCCCTATATATGAGGAGAGGATATCGCCTTTGTACGTGAATATATGATTACTGATAGTCTCCAATAGGTTCTTAGAACGCTGTTAGCTGTGTTCTTCGTTCTCGTCCTCTCCACAACGGATAGATAGTCGGCCCGTCGGATTTGATGATGTAACACTAGGACCTGAGGTCCGAATGCTGGAACTCCGAAACCTCCGATCACCATTTTGCTTACTAATCACCATTGACCGGAAAGTTGGGGAAAACCTGTGATTATAAAGATGTTATAAATATTGCTAAAGTTGAGGCTCAACTGAACGACTTGCGCTTTCGTACTAATTAATATATTACTCGCCGCTTTAACTTCCACGACCTATATAAACTCTCGGCGGCTGCAGATATCACCCTTACATTCATCAAAAAACACAGTCAGCCTCGATACCAATCTCACGGGTTGACTTGCGAAAGACCTCTACGACGTTATTGCATCTTGCTAATGCGTCCTGCCTCATTTATCTTACCCTTTTCCATTTTACATCGCCAAAGCATTGCTACCGCTGCACATTGCACTCCGGCATTAAGATACCCTGTACTCCCCAGTACCCCACACGTAGGCTGCGCACTACTCGCCCAATACTCGGCTCACTCACTCAGTGGGTTACTCAGCTGGGTGAGTAGCTGAACCTTTCACTCGACTCGGTGAGTGAGGCCAATACTCAGTTACTCTGTAAAAACCCAGTGAGTACTCGGCTGTCACGTGTAAGATATATGCATTACGTGAACAGTCCCTCATACGATTAATACTGTTTTATGGTTACAGTTGTAAGTTAACTTAAAGTATTACATTTATCAGCATCACTCTACCATCTCTAATAAGCTGTGAGAACGAATCACGTATATTCCTCTATCTAAGTACCACGATTATCAGAAGATTATCAGAACACTATATTATATATGCTCAAGAACATCTTTCCACCTTGCTTGATGAGGCCGGCCAGACCTACTAATACCTAAAGTATTTATAGGGTCTTGACGAGTAGCTTGAAAGATATCAAGTAGATCTCTTCCAGTCTTCCGAGGGCGTTGGATAGGCGTTGGTGGCGAGGACGGCATATCCTTATCTTCATCGTCATGAATAGTTGGAAGTATAGGCTCCTCATTATTACCATCTTCTCTTATATCTTCATTATCTGGGATATCGTCATCTGGGATGTCGTATAAGGTCTCGTTAAGACGGTCAGCCCTATCTCTTTCTTCACCTTGTTGGTAGCGCATTTGTCGTTCTTCATGTGCAGCTTGTGATAAGTCTTGCTGTTGCTGTGGCCGCTGAGGATTAAACGGAGGATATTGTACCTTTGAATATGTCTCTCGGATATGTGTATTTGATCGTGGTTCTTCTTCATCGCTGATATATTGTAACTCGATAGAATTGCACATCCGTTGTCGTTGTGCCTCATACTCTTCTTCGACTTGCTCCTCAGTCATATCAACGACGTCCATCATATCTGCAAGCTTGTCACGATGACCTTGACGATTCTTGTATTGTCGAGAGTAATATATAAGCATAATACTCTTAATCGTCTCAGGATTAAGTTGACCACGTCGGTGGCCACATACGTCCCTTGCGGCACTAAAGACTCGCTCAACTCCAGACTCAGCAGCAGGAATACAAAGTATATCACGAGCCATTGCTGATAGACCAGGAAATTGCTCTTCCTTTTGTTGCCAAAATAGCAATATCTTTGTGTAGATATGTGCTATATAAGTTAGAATAAGATTATCAGAAGATTACCAGAAACTTACGAGCATCAAGATAGAGATCAGCCTCATTCACATATTCCTCTCGCTGGCCCCGAGTCCCATTTAATGTCTGACTTTGCTGCAATACTAAGGCTAATGGATCCATATCTGCATCTCGTAATCCTGATTGACTCGCAACTCGCACTGTAGAGTACTGCTCTTTATAAAGAGTCCTAAACTGTTGTTCAAACTCTGTCTCCCAATTTCGTATTGAAAAGTCAAGCTTGCAAACCTTTTTGTTAAAGTGTGAGAGCTTCACACTAGGATTTAAGATACTAGCAAATGCGAAGATAGATCCAGTATTTGTGTATAGCTTGTTATAATACTTCCTAATCTTCTTCTCTGCAGCATCGATTGCTAAAGTCATCTTTGCTGCCCATGGATATGTCTTATGCCGTAGCCGGTGCCGAGTTCCTTCAAGCGTTGATAAGAGTTTTTGATATACTCCAAGTGTATAGCAGACAGTAGGTCCGGCTGACGATCCAATGTTTGTTGTAAAGAAGTTGAATGGCCTTGTAAGATCAATGATGTATTCGATGTGCTTCCATTCTAGCTCGCTAAGTCTGAACATGTGAGCACCATGATCGCCTCGAGTATATTGATTGATTGTTGACTTGAGTTGCTGTGCTCGCAGAAGCATATGGCATGTCGAATCCCATCGAGTTGATACATCTTGAATAAGTCGAAGAAGCCTCTGAGATGATTGACCCCGGTTCATGTTTGCCTTTTGCAAAGTCATAAACCTGTTCCTTCGAGTTTGACTTGAATTAACAAAGATAGTGAGCTTCCGGAGCTATGAGATATTAGAAAAGACTACCAGAAGTTTACCAGAACTAACAAGAGAATATATACCTTTCCAAGTGTAAATCCAATACCCTTGTCCTTCTGCAACTTTGCAAGGCCCTCCATCTGATTCTCTTCTTCCCAGTTCATTAAGATCTCTTGATTTGTTGGCGTAATCCGGATTCGACCAAGGAGAGCACTAAGGACAAGTTGAATAACGTGAGCTAGGCAGGGTATGTGTTGTACTTTTCCTCCAATGAAATGCTCGTTGTCTGCAATACTATCAAGCATTATTTCCACATCTCTCATCATTGAAGTGTTGTTTGACGCATTATCAGTCGTAATGGATATAATTCGTCCTTCTAAATGCTGCCTTGTGATAACTTTTTCAAGTATTCCACATAACTCAGCACCAGTATGCTCTGTATATATAGGTTCAAACCCAATCAAGACCTCTTGCATTTTCCAATGACGGTCGATAAATGATGCAATAACACCCATAAATGAAAGTCGAGTAACACTTGACCAACAGTCGAGCGATAATGCAATCTTTGAACCAGGAACAACATCTTGTAGCATCTCTTCTTCGATTTGTGTGAGCTTTGTTGTTAAGAGGTTTCGAATAGTTGTTGCTGAGGGTAGTGGATAGTGAGGATTCTGAAAGATAGCAAGCCTTTTCCATTCAGGATCCTCGACTGAGCGGAACGAGCTATGAGTTGAGATAACTGTGTATAGAACTTGTTCGTAAAATGCCTCTTGTGTGAGAATATGATCCTATTATAGATATTAGCCTATATAATTCTGGTAATAATCTGGTAATCCTTACCTGTTGAGGTCGCATCTGATTGATTCGCATTTGATAGAGACTATCCTTACCCATCCGTGACTTCTTTTTGCAAATGTCTGATGCAAGATGTGTTGCCATAGACTTTGGGCCAGCAGACTTGATTGCAGGATGCGTAAGGGCCTTCGAACAATAGGTACAAATGACACATGGTTCTCCAGAAAGCCGGTCTGCTCCTTGGTGATAAATTCTCCAGTATTGAGAACTCCGGTTGGTTGAATCCCATGCAATCTTCGTAAGGAGTTTTGTAGTATGATCTGAGTGTTGTTCATACCATCGTGATAGCTTCCACCACTCAATGAATACATCGTGTGTATCCTTAGTCCATTTGATGAATTGGTTTAATTTGCCAGTATATTCGAGGCCCGCAGGGATTTGATTTAATGAAGGTAGTCGTTGAGAAGAGGGAAGAGAGTCTGAGAATATATTAGAAATAGGATTGTCAGAGTCAAACAACTCTGAATATTGCGATGACATTTGGCAAGTAGCAAATTGTTTGATTATCAGAAGATTACCAGAAGTCTGGCTACGATGAAATACTTAAATCTCTATAGCCCCTATTCGCGTCGGAAAATCAAATACTCCATTTCTCTCCTCTACTCTAACTCCAGAAACAACATATCCTGTGCAGCTGATACCTTAGCCCACTTTTCCTTATCAAATTTCTTAGAGTAGACAAGTAAGAACGCCTCTTTGAAGCTAGAACTATGAGTGGAGACTTGTAACCATCCGTTGTCGACAAGATTGTAAGACTTTGGGTACCACTGCGCAGGTCCTGGTAATTGGGCCCACTTTCCAAACTTCCAAGCTGTAAAGTTTGTCCAAACTGCCTGCTCGTACAAACAGAAATATTTATGTGGTGGGATAACGTTGTGAAAAGTGCTATAATAAACAATTAGTATCTCTAGAAGATTGCTAGAATGATCAGAGACGTACCCTTCTTCTACATCAATCCATGGCATATATTCAAAGAGATGCTCAGGCTTCTTTCTCAGCTTTCCAGCCTTTCTCGTATATGAGCGGATACAGCTATCCCAGAAATGTTGCCACTTGCGGAAATTGGACTCTTCATGGGCCTATCAACCGTTAGTATTACCAGAAGATTACCAGAAGATTACCAGACTATGAGGTACCAACATCAATGCGTGCTTGAGTTAAGAGAGCCTGGATGCTAGCGATCTCTTCATCAGAAAGCTCATCTGGTAGAACAGCCTCGTCATTTAAAATATCGTCGCGCCGTAACATAAGCTCCAACTCTAAATCGTCTTCAACCTCAGTATCCTCCCATTCGCTGTTATGATCGTCATCGATTGGGATACTGGTGATACCCTCAAATGCAGCAAGCTCAGACAGAAGTTGTGGCGGAGTAGATGGTGGGGCTTGTGGAGAAGAAGAAGGGGCGCTAGTATTCTTGACTTTCTGATTCGCAATGCAAGATGCATGGGTGCCCTTTTCAGTCCTGTTTATAGTTAGATTAAGGCTACCAGAGATTACCAGAAGGAACCTACCGAACACGAATACGCTCAACCTTCAATTCATTCTGTAGACGTGTCTTGTCTTCAGCAGAGGCAGCGATATACTTTGCAGACTTGTATAACTTCTTTAAGTAGTAGCTCAGATCGCCATGGTCAGCCTTGAGTGCTAAATGAACAGCCTTCTCATCTTCAGTAAGGTTGGAGACGCGGTTGCGAGCTTTGATAGTATTCAAATTAGTGGAGAGTTCTTCAGGTGCCTTGCGTTTCGCCATGCTAAACACGTGATTAGCAGAAGATCATCAGAAGTTCTGACTGTAGAATCAAGATAATAAACTTACTTGAGGTCCTAGTGAAGAGGTAAAGCGCAAAAGAGAAGAAGAATGTGTAGATCGGAACGTAACCAAGGAAGGTGGTTGGTTGTAAGGTTGTTGTTTTTTTAAAGTTGCAAACAATTATATTCGTCAAGGAATATTCACCTGCAAATAATTACTGTTCTAAACAACACTACAACGCGTACCTTCAAATAAAACACATACCTTTCAACCTCTACCTCTTTCTTTACTCTTTCTACAACATCCTTGCTACAAACTCACTGTAAGTACATATATCTTTTGATCTACTTCTTTGTCTTGTGTATACTTCACTAACTCATCTTAATGTTAGCAAATGGCTCGTATTAAGCAAACTGCTAGGAGATCAACTGGCGGCACAGCACCAAGGATGCCACTTGGATTACAGGCTGGCTCTAGGCTTGGTGGAAAGGGAAAGGGAAAGGAAAAGGCTGTGCGCACAGCAAGAAAAGCTCCAGTTCGCTCATCTCAAGCTTGCAACAATCATGCTCAGAAGGCCATGCGCCGTGCAAAGTCTGGTAAGAGGATTACCAGAGGATTACCAGAACTCTCTAATAAACATATAGGCACCAAGGCTCTCCGCGATATCAGAAGACAGCAACTTGATACTCGCCTGATTATTCCAAAGCTCTCATTCCAGCGTCTTGTTAGGGAAATCGCACAAGACTTCAAGTCCAATCTTCGCTTCCAGCAATCTGCTATCCTAGCTCTCCAGGAAGCTGCCGAATGCTTCCTCATTCGAGAATTTGAGAGTATGATACTTGAACATAGTGACAGGGACATACTAACAGTTATAGTGACAAATCTCCTTGCTATTCATGCGAAGAGAGTGACAATTCAGGCAAAGGATATGGTATTGGTTCGGCGTTTGCGGGATATGATGTTTAATCATGGAGCTGTAGGCTTAATCGATGGAAATGTCTCTCACCCAGGAATGAAGGTTAGATAAGTTCTGGCAACCTTCTGGTAACCTGGTACCTAAAGGCAAAGGTTATAGTGTGGAATAGGATATCAACGACATGGGAATGGAGTTATTGAGTTATGGCGTTTTACGACATCGATATCAATGTGAAGTCACGATCACACCCCCTTTTCAATGACTAATCAAACACGTGATATAACTGGGTTGCCAAGACCTATACTAGGTACCCGGCAAGTGAGTAATCCTCATTCAACAATACTCGGGATATGAGTGAGTAACTCAGCTGGGTGAGTAGAAATTCTACTACTCGACTCATGAGTACCCAGTGCGCAGCCTACCCACACGTATACCCCCGCAGCCATACTCATCCACCATGTCGGATACAGGGGCTGCAAATTTGTCCACAGAGCCAAGGAAAGACATACAAGAAGAATCAAACAGCAAAAATGTAGCTGTAGAGAAAAACGAAGCAACAGCGGCCGAAGCGCCACAAGAAGAGCCAAAATTACCGCCACTTAGCGCATCGGATTTCGCGGCCTACAACGGCATGGCGGAGCACATGGAATACTTCGTAAGTATATTATCAGTCCTGCCACTTCTAGTCTTAAGCTAACACGCTCTAGCACAATAATTTCCGGAGGACGTGGAACCTTCTATATGGTGCCTGCGAGTCTAACCAACGCCCAAAGAACATGTCCATCAAGCAGTTCATCACCACTGGCCTGCAGTTTTGTGGGCATCTCACGGCGCATCACTCCATCGAAGAGGTGCACGTCTTCCCTGTTCTCGCTAAGAAAATGCCGGAGTTCAAGAACGGCCCTAAGTACAAGGGCGCAGCGAAGTTGTTAAGGCAGCACAAGGAGATCCACGATGGCTTGGACGTATTTAAGCTGTACTTGCAGCAGTGCCAAACTGGGGAGGCCGACTTTGATTTGAGGGTGCTCAAGACGAAGATGGACTCCTGGGGAACAGTGTTATGGACTCATCTAGATCAAGAGGTCAAGACGTTGGGTGCCGAGAACATGAGGAAATACTGGACTGTAGCAGAGATGAGGCGGATGCCAATGTAAATATCCATATATAGAAAGAACATAATTTGATTTTAACAACAATATTAATACTTGATCCCCACCTTTTCACCCCCTGGGTTCCTGGCCCATATATGATGTGTTTTAAACTCTCGGGAATCACATGAGTAACGTCAACCCCTGCGAATTCTTGCCCGCGCCCGTCGACCTGATATCGAACTACTGGATCTGTTTTACCTTTCCTCCAAAACCGTCACTGTTGTCTTGACCTTTCCATCTCCTGCGCTCAGGGCATATAAACTTCCCTCCCGAAGCAACGTCGGTAAGGCCGGTGCCGCCGTTCGCAGATAGATCAGTAGAGCTGATAATGCTAGCATCCTGAGTGCTCATCTCAACAATGTGGTTCACAACAATATCAGACGTAAGCATTTACAGTGACATCGGATATGGTAACCCAGCATGTAGCAGATTGATCAGTGATGATGCCCTTCCCTGTTAGGGTGGCATCTTCTCCTCCCATGGCCTCGGCAAGATGGACGCCCTTCACCCATTCGGCCTCGGCCAGACCACACCACCCGTTGGCCCATTCAACACCGTCTCCCAAGTTTTCTTCTCCAGTGACGAGTCTGTCCTGTTCACAGATGTCAAGGGCAACCCTCCTGCAAACAACACCGGCTTCATCTCTGCGTTCCCAGTCAACCCCACCTCTCCCTGTGGAGGCGCAATTTCAAGTCTATCGATGACCGAAACCCGCAGCTCCCCTGCCGGCACCGCTGTCCTGTTTGGTTCCGCGGCTATCCCTGGCAGCACCTCACTCTTTGTGACAGACGCTTCCTTCGGTGCCGCCGTCCTCGCCGTTGACTCGAGCATCAAGAGATGTGCAAGAGACCCCGGATTTTGCTCTTTTGGAGGAGGCCTGGCATTGTGATGGGATTGAAGGCAATTGAGAATGATCAATATTTTAGTGCTGATAGGAGAGGAAAGGTGTCATACTGACATTCGTTGCACTCAGTTTGCTATCAAACTCAAGAGCAAACTTAGAAATCTCCTCAAAACCTACAAGTCACTATACATATTTTGGCTTATCACACCAACAACAAGAGCAATACTACTCAACGATTGCTACAACCCTCTATGATTCATTACATATCATCGCTCCTTAGTTACTGGGCCAATATTACCACATAGCATATCTCTACAACCCTCTATGATTCATTACATGACATCACTCCTTAGCAACTGGGCTAATACTACCACATGACATATCTCTACCAACTAGAGGCCTAGGAACATGAACGATAGCTCCAAAAGCTTCTACAACCCTCTATGATTCATTACACGCCATCGCTCCTTAGTTACCCACAAGATTGGTTAAGTTATGACATAATTTGTCTATAGGGGTACTCTGACCTTGGACCTCCTTTCACTTCCTATAGGCTAGGAACCTAAGAGATGGTTCTATGGGATTCTCTTACGTCGACTACAGTTACCAAGCCTGGTTAGTCATGGAAAGTCTTGGAAAATGAGAGAACTACACTCCTTTAGCATAAATAGGATTGCCCTTTCCTTAAGAAAGGGCAAGCAGACAATACAGTAAATCGACTATCACATACTTCCACGTCTTTTCCAAGCTTCCAAGCATTGATCTTGTTACTCCTTGTTTCTGAAAAGTCAGTGAGGTGCGAACCTCTGACTTATCCCTGAGTTCTCAGACTCAACATTTGTTACAACTTGCCTAAACCACTCCACTACATCATACACTTGATTGCTGCGTTGTGGAATAGTCTAAGATACAACCCTTTGGCTCTGTTTCCTAAGACAGTGTGTTGTCTCATTAAAATCATACCTTCCCCTGGGTGGCTAGATTCTCACATCTGGTGCACCCACCATTACATATACGGATACAGAACAAGCTTCAGAAAAAGACACCAAGCTGTTACAGTCGATTATAGGGTCGCTCATGTATGCCATGACACAGACCCGGCCAGATATTGCTTTTGCTGTATCCTTCCTAAGCCGCTTCCTGTCAAATCTGACAGCAGCCCATTTACAAGCTGCTTATAGAACGTTACGATACCTTGAGCACACGAAGGGCCTCGGGGTCACATACCATGGAAAGAAGAGGGGCTTTAAAGGATGCTCTGATTTTGATTGGGGGGCAGATCTTGATACTAGATCTTCGACATCTGGATATCTGTTCTTCCTCTACAGTGGAGTTATCACTTGGAAAACAGGAAGACAAAGGACAGTAGCATTATCAAGTACAGAAGCTGAGTATTATGGGCTATCTAACACCACACGAGAAGCTATATGGCTCCGAAGCCACTCAGAAGCCTTGGATACAATGAAGGCCTCAATCCAGTAGTGATTGAGGGTGATAATCAAGGCAGCTTGGCACTGACTGAGAACCCAGAGTTCCACCAGCGCACTAAGCACATCGACATAAAACACCATTTCCTACGTCAGGAAGTAGAGGAAAAACGGGTCAGTTTCTCATATGTAGAAACAACCAAATTGGCCGCAGACGGCCTAACCAAGCCACTCAATGGAGCGAAGCACGCTGCCTTTGTGCAGCAGCTCAGTCTTGAAGACTGGAGTGCCAAAGCACTGGTCAAGGAGTGAAGGGGCATGTGGAATTCTCACTCCGGCGAAGCATCAGGCGGCGGAGTTCTCACTCTGCACCATGAGAAATAGACTTGGGGGCAAACTCCGGTCAAGCCTACGGACTTGCTTACCCTCGACTAACTCAGAGGAGAGTTCTGCAGTATATAGAGTAGCTAGAGTAGCTAGATTAAATGAATATGCATTTTTACTTCTAATCAATTGGACCCTACTCGTGATACCAGAATTATCATTTACTATTCTACCGAACCTACCAAGAGCTCAACATATACAGAAGGCTTGAGAAAGAGCGAAATCCATATTACTTACAGTATACTTGATGTTCCCTCCACCTACCTTGCCATATTGGGAAAGATGAAGCGCTCATGGTACTACTATGAGCACTCTGCTACCAATTATTCAATGAATCTCCCTTTCTCTAGACAGAATCTGCGTGTACGAAACAGTTTCTTGTCGGTGGAGGATAACGATGGACACTGTTGGTGAAGTTACTCAGTAGTATTCCCACACTAGTCCCAAAAGCATTTAAAGTACTCTACTTGATTTTCAAAGCAATTGGCGTTATACTGTAGATTAGTTGCTAAAGATATTAAGTTTTAGCCCCTATTTTTAACCTAATTCTTAGTATCTTAATAACTGCTCGACCAATTGCTTTAAAAATCAAGTAGAGTACTTTAAATGCTTATAAAAAGCTGAGATTATATTTTTATAATTTATTATTAAAGGGTTGTTGAGATAGTAAGTTACGAAATTTGTGATTTTTAGTGTAAAATGTAACGTAAGTCGTGTGTTACGACGGAACAAGAAGGCTGGCCAACTACAGGACAGGAAGGAGGGAGGTCGCATGAGACCGGCCCTGGTACCTGGAGGGGCAGCGGGGAATAGTAGTTCCGAAAGTATCACGTGACGGACTCGCAGGATGATGAGAAGAGTCCTAAGAGTCCAGGACTCCGAGGACTCGAGTGAGTTCCCAGGAGTCCACTAGGCACGTGACGGACTCGCAGGATGATGAGAAGAGTCCTAAGAGTCCAGGACTCCGAGGACTCAAGTGAGTTCCCAAGAGTCCACTAGGCACGACGCCACTATATAAGTAGATAGTATTTCCTTAGATAGGAGCTTCGTGCTCAACTCAATACAGTATTTGTTATATACTAGTAACGTGTTACTTGAAGCCTTTGTGTCTGATCCCCTGCCTCCTCTGATAAGTAAACCTTTACGCAAGAGAACCTCTGTGTCTTCTATTGTTTAGAAGTCAGCGTTACACTTTGAGCACCACTTCTACGAGGCACTGGCTCATACACAAAGCACCACTTCTACGAGGCACTGGCTCATACACAAAGCAACATGTCTGTCGTCAGTTCGAAGGGGAAAACCCCCACCACGCCAACTTCGTCTCAGAGGTCTAAGCCTGAGAATGAGGAGATGCCCGACGCACCCACCATCAACGAACTCAAGGAAACTCTACGCGTCAAGTTGCCCGATACTTACTCCGGCAACCGAAAGGAACTTGAGGTGTTTTTGCTACAGGTCGAACTGTACCAGCACTTCAATGACGAGAAGTTTCCCACCCAGGAGAGCTATGCCCTGTGGACTGCGTCCTACCTTAGGGGGGAAGCCCTGCGATGGATCGAACCATTCCTCAAGGATTATTTCAAATATGAAAGTACCAATGGAAGCATGACAACTACGCAGACTATGTTTGGCAGCTGGAATGGATTCTGTAAGGAAATCCGACACATGTTCGGAGACATCGATGAGATTAAGACCGCGGAAGACCATCTGTTTGCACTTAAGCAGACTGGCAGCGCCCTCACGTACTCCACAGAATTCCAGAGATACGGCAATCAGACAGGATGGGACGCCAGCGCACTCATCAGCCACTACCGACGTGGGCTGAAGAGCCATATACGTATGGAACTTGCCCGTTTGGAACAACAACCAACGGACATGGTAGCGCTAATCGAACATACGGTCCGAATCGACAATCGACTATACGAATTCCAGAAGGAACGTCGGACCTATGACAAGCCCAAGAAAAGTTACCCCTACCGGGGAAACGAGGGCAGACGACGGGATCAACACCCGCGAGACAACCGTTGGTCGGACCCAATGGAACTCGATGCCACGTTCAAACCTGGATGACCCCGTGACCCTAAGAAAGACAGACAATTCAAGGAACGACTCTGTTTTAACTGCGACAAGCCAGGCCACATGGCCCGAGACTGCAGACAGCCAAAGAAAGGGAACGGCGGACGCAAAGTCGGCAAACAACTCAATGCCACCTGGACAGGACAGTTGAACGCAACGTTTGTGAGCAAACAGGACTGGGGAATAAACGGCGAAAGCACCCCAGAAGACGAGAGCTCAGATGAAGGGTCGGAGGCGGAATCGTTCACCGTTTCGGAACAGGAGACCTTCGATGAACTCGCACCTACGGAACCAATGAGTCCACGGTGCAAGAGCGTAGTAAGACGCATGGCAAAACACGCCCATGCGAAGATTAGGGCCGAACGAGACAAGCCCAGCGGCCAGAGGAGAATCCCCATGCTTAAGGGCATCTACGGGAACCTGTTACAGGAACTTCCGTTAAAGTGCAAGGTGGACGACTGCAAGAATGACCTCTGGAGATACTACGACCAACTAACGAATACCCGCAGGCTGCTTGGCACGTCCCAAGACGTAGCTAAGTTGGAAGCCCAAGAAGCGGAAGAACTGGAGAAGGATGTCGAGCATATGGCTAAACTGAAGTATATGAAAAGCGTCAAACTTTACTACCAGGACCGCAGGAGAGCCCTGAAGAAGTACGACGAGAAAGCCAGAGATATGCTCCGACGGGAAAATGCGAGACCCACTCCACGCATCGAAAGGAGAGCCATGGAGCAACTAGACACGTTCTCCATGCCTCCGAGGGAAGATAGTGCATGGGTGAGAGGACAGCGGGAACTATCAACGACAGACGCAACAGAGACTGATCATCCCTGGCACGCGTATGTCTACTGGGAGTATTGCAGCGAAGATGACTGCAAGCTCCACTGGAAAAAGAAACACCAGAATCAGTTGTTTCCCCGATCCTCGCCCAGGATACACTTCAGAGACGCAGAGCAAGTTCACGCCCTCAGGCGAAGCCAGTCTGAAGGGGACTTGCCTATCAAAAGCGAACAGGTATACGAGAAATACCCACATCTGCTAGACGAAGCAGAAGAGCGAGGGAAACGATCTCCCCAAGGACCACCATTGGAAGCGGATGAATACTATCCTTCCTCGGACGAGTCAAAAAACTAGGAGTCCTCGACGGTAGGCCACCGGCGAGCGACATGAAGAGGCCTAGTACAGACCAGCTATGCGCCACGACGGGCAGCATGCAACTATATGTGGTCGCTAAGATACAACAGCGACACCTCCGAGCAATGATTGACTCAAAAGCGACGGGCAACTTTATGACAAAGAAAGTAGCAGACACGCAAGGTTTCAAAACAACAATGAAAGCCAAACCATACCCGTTA